TGTTTACTTTGGAGACTGAATTGCGAGTAATGGAGATCGAATCGCGACGATTGTGAATCTGGTAAGAATGGTCGGCGAGCTTCTTTCACATACAGACGAATCGCGGCGTCGATTAAATCGCTCACGGTGGATTCCGGCGAGATTATAATCTGCACAGCGCCTAGACTCCCTTGCACCGTCACGTTAAGCAGAAGTTTCGTCAGACGCGGAACCACCGTTCCTCCTCCGCCGATGCTTTGGCCGTTGGAGAACAACTCCGGTAATGTCTTCGGCCTTCGAAGCTCCCCTGGATTCGGCTGAGGCATCGTTCCTCTGCCGTGGAACGACATGGATTTCTCCGGTAACTTTCCCCGCCGATTCTTCTCCGTTTCCACCGTTCCTTTCCGGTTACCGTTCTTCGGCATGTTATCAATATAACCAGAGTGGCACGACTGTAAATTTGGGAGGGGAGAGAGAGGGCAAAAGGATAAGAGTATGAAATGAGGGGAAAATTCAATGTGTAGAGTTAATGGGGCAAGTAATTTATAGATAGGGTGAGACGACTGAGAAATCAGATATGTGTTGGAATTTTGTGAGAGGAGGAGTCATGGAAACCGGCTATGATAGGTGAACCGCATCTTCAATTATTTGCGTTAGTCGGTATTAGGTCCAGGTTCAACCGGTGGCTCTCAATTTTCGGATCATTGTCGAAGAAGTCCCTTTTTTTTTTCGAAAAGTAAGTACTTTACATTAAAACCTGGTAAAACTGATATATTTACAGAGCCAACCAGGCGAAAAATCTACCCGTTTTATGACCCCGTCAGATCCAATCTGGGTCAAAACGAAATTGAATAAAATCCCCATATTAAACAAATCCTACCCAATTTCAATGTTCACTATCTCTCTCAATTCTCCCTCGTCATTTCGAAACCATTCAAACCGAAAGTATAACTAGGGAAACTAGCTAGGATTTAGAGTGAAATCAAGGATTTGGCAATGATGAATACAATGATTCGAAAATTCAAGAATTCGAAGAAGGATGAGGAACAAGTTCCACCGGT